AGATTACAGTTCATCATTGATGGCTGATTGTGATGGTACGAAATCCAAGGAATTTCTTCCCAGAGTCCAGCGAAAACTAGTTCGATTCATGCTCATTGCTCATGCTTGTGCCGTGCCACGCCCACCACACAATCAAGATTCAGCATCCGATCAAGATTCAGACCGGTGCTAAGCAGGCCCATCGGAATCTTCAAAAACAACCAGCAAACTCAAACAAGAATCCTGCGCACCGGAGGGCGGAGACCCCCAATCTTTTTGTCACGCGCGTGGCTTTCTCCGGACAAAACTCAATTGCACACAAATGAATGGGGAATGAATGGTTAAAAATATGTGATGTTATAGGTACGAGGATGCTATACTTGCAAATGTTTACATGAACGGACTACGGAGCTACATATACTACACTTACTTCTCAAGAAATGTTTGGAGAAAATAAAGCAACTCCCCCCACGATCACGATATCTGGTGCACATTGAATAACATTTATTTCTGCTTCAGTCAAGAGCTTTTGTTGTTTCGGTCTTTGTTTTGTTTTCATTATTTGCTTTTAGATGAAGCATTGCCATTTTCGTTTGTATGTGTCAAGAAAATGTTTTGACATGTTAAGATAAAATAAACAGTGAATATTCTTTAATATAAGACACATTTTAAATGTTCTTGGTTGGCCTTCACAATTGTCATTTGTTTACCACACTGAACTCTATAATGTGGAATGCGCATCGGCCGCCAGATGGTGTCCAACGGTGCCGCCATGTTGCGCAGACCAGGAAGCGGCCGCCGCCTGTGTTGGGGAATAGGGAATTCGGGACCTCGATTTACGTTTGCGGCGCTGCATCCCTTACGTTTAAGCTATGTGGACACGGAACCCGGCATCTTACGCAGAATTGAGTGGAGAATAAGATGAAATCCTAAAAACTTCTCAGATACAAGGAACTAATACGTTAAGCCCTTATAAGTCAATGGGGAAATATGAAAATTGCTATTTTGGCGCCGAGAATGATCTGAAACTATCTCAAGCATATAAAATCATGATTTCATGCACTCCTTGCAAGGTTCTATGCTTCATATTTGCATTGTTGCCCTTGCGTGACGTCATTTGTGACGTCACAAGGGTCACAGTTTTTCTTCAATAACTCCCGATCAAATTGAGCTAGCGAGTCGGGAAAACCACCAATGGACTCAGAGTCAGGAAGACCTGCCGAATCGAATGATATGCGACATGACCTCTTTCGACCATCTTCGTGACCTGGGGGTGCTGACCTGACCTTGACCTGAGGTCAACACCCTAAGTTGACCTGACCCGAACAAAAAGTATATCACTCGATGCGCCTGAGCTAGCTGAACACGATGATGCCAAAATCGCGGCTCTACGGCCATTTTTGGCGAAGTTATTTACCAAAAACCGACCCCGTGCCTTAGATCACTTGACCTGACCTCAGAGGTCACCGGTTGACCCGGGACCTTTACATTGGGTTCCTACCAGTCACTCTGCATTATCCTTTGTCGCAAACGACCAATTTACCGCTTAATTCTAGTTTAATTAGCGGCGCATTAGCGAGGTGGGTTCAATCAACCCCCTCGGCCGGGGCAAATGTAGGTCCGGCGAGTGAATTTGAGAAATTCTGAAGATACGATCGTGTTCCCCACTCAATTCTGCGTAAGATGCCGGGTTCCGTATCTACGTAACTTGAACGTAACGGATGCGGCGGCCGCAAACGTAAATCGAGGTCCCGAATTCCCTATTCCTCAACACAGGCGGCAGCCGTTTCTTGGTCTGCGCAATATGGCCGCCACCGTTAGACACTACGGGCAATAGGGTTCAAGCGGCATTGCTCCCCTGTGGTTTACCATAAATTACTGCCGCCATCAGAATTACAGTCGGTTTTCACCACTGAACTCTATAATGGTTTTCACTTAGGATTTGTCCCCCAAACACCAACAAAAGATCAACAATGCGTAATTGTTGTGTCATTGTTGAAAGAATAAGCAAGGGAGAATGTCTCGGTGGCGCATGTGCGGTCGTGGTAGGAAGCACCTCTACTCCGGAGAATTACTCGCGATGCTGCGACTCCAGCTCCGGCCAAATCTGAGTCGTCCGACACGGAACGCTTGATTGATGACTCATCCATCCCTTCGTCAAATTTTGACTGTCAAGTTCGGGAACTATCCCCACCTCGGCTCAGGATCCAATCCCACTGCATCATTTCATTTCCTGTAACAGTAGCGGCGAAACACCTTCAATTAGGGGGGGGGGGGGCACTGCCGACTTTTGATCCCATTCTTTCCATGCAAAGCCCATAGGGCTAATGTTAAAATGCCCAAATCAAATGGGGGCACGGTGCCTCGGTACTCCCCCCGTTCCGCCGCCTATGTCCTGAAAACTTGCTGGCTGACTCGTGGGCCGCCATTGAGAGGATGCCTCATGTCTGTCAGCCTGAAACTCACATGTAATAGATGTGCGCTGTTTAATGGTTATCTTAATCAAACGCTGTGCAGTGCGCATTTTCAATAGGTACCCGGACCCCGCCACCCCCCCCCCCCCCAAAAAAAAATCAAACAGCTCAGCATGTCCAGTGTCCACCGTCCACATTTTGAGCAAATTCCTATTTCTATGATAGGTATGTCACGTATGTGTACGTGTAGGTGTATTGTATACTTGTTTTCAGACTCTATTTTTATACAAAGTGACGCATTGTTGAAACGAGTCTTCTCTTTTGTTTCAGGTGGGTGTCTTCCAATTTTCGAGCCTGCTACTCTTCAGGCACCTGCAGTATCACGGGCTGGCAACTCTTCAAAACTGGAGGCCATTCATCATTTTTAGCTGAGTATGCTGGCCCGGGTCCGTTCGAATGTTAAGCATGGAAGTTCAGCGAATCGCAACAGACCTGTACAAATTTTTTTTTGTTCTACTCTACGGGGAAATGGTGATTGGTATCGTAATTCGTAACAAATGATGCATGCAGGCAATGAAGGAAAGTAAAATCCCAGAAATACCCAACACCTTCGCTAGCGTGCAATTGTAAGCAAAGCGTTGTTTTGCTGTGTTAATGGTGATATTTTTAGTGTTTTTGCATTATTGATGTCCTTCGTATTCCTTTCGTTTATCCTTTTTCGTAATCGTCGCTCTCGACATGGATACGACGGGACTGCAGTGGAAGGCATTTTGGACTGGTACTGCCCCGCTAGGCGGTAAACAAGACTCGACGAATATGGGAACGACAGTACGAGAATAAGGCATGCAGTCAGACATGGGAGACAGGGGAGGGTGGGAACCGATATGGAGGTCTGAAGAATAGTGAAAATGAATTTCTTTTTTTAGTGTTAGTCGTGTTACTAAATTTTCACGAAGTACCTATGTGGTTTATTTTTTATCATGCATATTCAGCGATTGGAATTGTCGGGCTCCTGGCTAATATAGACGTCAGAGCTGTAAACTTAATGTTTTCCTCGTCATGGACAATGTATGATGCAACGCTCCAAGGCTGACTTTCATAAATTACTAACCTAATCTTACTCTTAGAATGGAGCTTCATATTGTTGGACGAGGAAACTAATTCATGATACTATCAAGGGTGGTATTGAACAATGGATCCGCCGGAGAAAAAATTCACTTTTTATGTATAAAGCACCGTTGACCGTTTAAGAGTCGCATGGTTTCTACATTGTCCGTTTTCAGGTCTATAACTGTACTTTCAAATTTCAATAACTGTCTGTACTTATTTATTGTGCGGTATTTTGATTTCTGTCAAATACCGCAATAATACCGCAACTGCCTTTTGCTTTCGATACAGTCTTGCAGAATTGAGTTAACTGTGGTTTACAAGCACCCAATATTCAATAACGACAAAAGCGCCAGAAGTGAAAGTAGGTAGGTACATACTTGCAGCCCTTTTAGTATGCGGGGGGCATTCAGTGAGTCAACAAATCGAAATTCAATCTTGACCTGCTACCTTATAGGCGTAATTATATTCACAGCTCAAAATCTGACATGGCCAAACTCAGTAGATGGGATCGATAGCATCCCATCGCCTCACCTCCATTTTTGGAAAATTTAACATCTCACTTAAAAGAAACACCTCGCAGTCTTCTTCGTTCCAGTTTAAAGCCGATCAGGCTAAGCTCAGGATTATCGCAAACCGCGTGATATCTCACCAGACACCATACCCGCCCCGACCTCGATTCACAGGTCACCTGATCGCTTTTAGTGACCGGTGTCAACTGTCTGTCTCAGACCGCAGTCCCCCCCCCCCCCACTGACCTGGCAGGCGTTCTACTTCACCGCGTGTCAATAGTCAGCTGTGCGCGAGGATGGGGTGGGGAAGGAGGGCGGGGAAGGCACCGGTGCGCGATACTTACAGCCATGCGTGATTGGCCACGCATTACTAAGAGTTAAAGAAGGGGAGGATAATGGCTGTAGACCGATTTAGAAGGAAGGAATAGGCTTTTACTGTAAAATTTTGGATATTTTCCAAACAATTTCTAGCAAAGGCACAGCCACAGGAAATTCAAATAATCACCCGTGGGCTATCATGATGCACATAAGCAGCCCGAGAAGCTCTGAAATTGTGTAATGGCCTTTCTTACTTGACCTCAACTTGTTTATATCAGAGCTATGGCTTTGATATAGTGATAAATATTGTTATTCAAACAATAAATATTGTTGCTGTTCAACCGGGACCAGAGGCGGATCCACCTCAGAGTTTTTTGGGGGGCAAACCATAACAATTTATCGATTCTTTCCATGCCTCGTCCATAGGCCCGCGTAATGTTAAAATTATGCCGTTTGGGAGGGGCAAATGCCCATTTTGCCCCCCACCCCCTGGATCCGCCACTGACCGGGACTCCAAATCCTTATGCCTTTGGTCTTGCCGTGGAGAAGTGAATCGGCGCTCTAGCGGACTCGTGGCGGGGAGAAGTAGCAGCTCTAATCCGGAATAGTTTCGAGACTGGCCGCCAGATGTCAGGCCCGTGCAAGGAATCAGCTGGGCAATGTAAACAATGAACGGAGACAGTCGCGGCGCGGCGGTGCGCTGGGGAGGTGGTGGTGTTCCGCACTAATATTTTGTATTTTTCTCTGTTTCATGCAGTGAGCTGGGTAAATATCGTATGAGGAACTCATTAGTAGTGTTTGTCCTCCCTGAAACAAGCGTTTGGTGTTGTCAGCTGCGGCCTGGAGCTTCGAGGGTCAGTGGAAACGTGGTCTGCAATCGGCACGTGAACGCCACCACACACCAGCCAGGTGCCTGTCTTTGAATTATGTTGATGTTGTTAGTGTTTTAAGCGTGAAATTCTCGGTTCAAAGCATCTTATTATGAAAAAGTGACTGAAGCTGTGCTTCTGAAATTTCTAAATTTCAGCATAACATGACTTGTACCTACAGAAAATGTTTTAAATTGATGATCAAGTCAATGTCAAATTAAAAGCTGTGCTGAAAACCTGTGTAATTATAATCATGTGCATATCTTTATCTCTCTCCACACTCCACAGTGTACTTGCTCTGTCTGTTGATGGATTGGCTGTTTTATCAATCACTCAGGTTCCATTCAGAGGTAGGGCACTGATTAATGGAATAGGTATGCATTTGAAACATTTTCTGGTCAAGTATTGATTATTTACTGCTTTTGTGGTGGCCTTTTCATGTGTAATTTGTGTTATCAATCAAAAATTATTATTTCATAGCAAGAGCTTCCAACTGAGGTATCACCACTTTTCAGCTTGTGTGTGCTCATTTATTTTCTATTTCTTGTAACTGCAATTTCCAGAATGATCTAAGAGTTGTTACACAGACCACCTATTCCCACTTTTACAGCTGAACGAAAAAACTAGTCTGATCTATCTTTTCAGAAATCTTATCACTGATAATTTATCAATTTCGCCTCCCTTTCAGGTCATGCACCTTGTTGCATACCTATTTCATACACTTCTTACCCATGTGCTGACTGTTGGGATTCACTTTCCTGTTTATTTGGCTTTGAGAGGATAATACTTCAGTCATCTAAGAGTATGAATTACAGCATCATAAATTTTCCCATCCCATCCACTGCTTCTGTTCATTCTCTCCGCCCCGTCACGCTGGTGTACGCTTCCGTGACGCTTGAGACCACTCCGCCGGCTGCGGAGTCCACCGTGACGGTTCCCGTGACAGCTCCGTGACTACTGGTCACGGTTCGTGACGGCCGGTGTTCCGCCGTGACGCGGTGCGTTTTACGGGACCCGTAACGCGTCGGTGGTTCCACTTAGCTCGTCTCTCTCGTCCCTTCCTTTGTCTCATCTTGTGTCTCACGAGTCACGATGTCTCACGTGTCTCTCGTGCCTCTCGCCTCCCCATCGCGTGCGTCTCGCTGCATATCGGGAGTCACAGTGTATCGTGACGTCCGCGTGACTCCGTCACGGTAGCCGCCGTGACCATCGTCACGGATGGCGTCACGGCGTCACGGACGGTGTATCTGATGTCTCCAGTCCGGAGAGCCAGCTGTTACGACCATTTGGTCTTGGCTCTGTCCTAGCCTACTTGTGGTCAGTCTTAGCTCATTCGTGGCTCCGACCTAGCCCACTTGTATCGCTGGTATGGCTGTGACATGATTCTCGGCGTTTTGATGATAGTATGGCGCTAGCTTGTACGACGGGTATCGTGAAGTCCAATTCAAATTCGGTTGTAAGGAGTTGTTGCTGCCTTTGCAAGCTGCAGCTTTCGTCTCACGTGCTCTCGCTCTGTCCCTATCTCGTGTGCGTAATACGTATCCTTTCAATGCGGGTAGCTCGATGGCAGTTTTGTTAGCTCACAGTAGGAAGCAGCGGTTGGTAGAAGCGACCAGCGTCTATCGTTTCTTGCCTCCACCGCCACCACCGCCGCCGCCACCGCCGCTGGCGCCGTTCATCGTCTTCACGGATGGATGAACGCCACAGATGAGCGAACCGGTCCCCGGCGGCCGTCCTAGACGACCATCGTGGCGCGCTGCGGCATGAACCGGCGCGCCGCGGCGAGAACCGGTGGGATAAATACTTCCTGAGAACCGGCGGGTGGAAGCGGTCGATTGACTGCGGTTAGCAGATGATTGCTGCAGATGATAGTTTGACGGTTTTTGTGTGAGAGAACAGGAGGAGTTGGTTGGAGTCTGGAGGAGTTGGTGTGTGGAGTGTGATGTGTTTTCGGGGATGTTCGGTAGATGGTTGTTAATATGTAGATGCTGATGATTGTTCATAGTTGTGATGCCTGAGACTTGTCGATGCTTGTTAGTTGTCGATGGTTTTTCATCGATAGATAGGTGGTCAGTCGCTGAGATAAGCCGTGGGTATCGGGACAGTCAGGCGGTCTCGCTTTGCTGGGTTGCTGAATTACCGACTAGCTGACGCAATGTTACTCTCAGACACGCTATCACCTTCTGCAGAGTGTTATATTGTGGTTACTCTTGCCAAGGTTGGCTGGGTGTGCCGGTTTCTAGTCGGCTCAGAAAGGCGGACTATTACGAGGCTGTGCAGTGATCATAGCCTGGGAAAAGAAATCTTGCGTGCTTCTCAATGTGTCGACTGGTAAATTATGTGGTGGTTAGCCTATTACGTTGGTAGTTGAGTCACTTTATGTGGTATGTATCATGTTCATTGATGCCACTTTATGGTGGAAAAGCTGTTGCTGAGAGGCAGACAAGTGATGTTGTTATGGGCCGATTCTCACTCATCATTTGAAAGCGAAACTTGTGTATGATTCCGAGATCTGACTGTTTCACATCTGTGAGATTCTGTGATGCTGAGAGCTGTAACAATTTCATTGACCAAGTGTTCAATGATTACGAGCTTGCAATGTTACATCGCGAAAGAGAATGCGTCTTTCCATCACTGCCTACCCGCACAAAGCAGTCCTACCCTAATAGTTTATCGTCTGTTTTCCTGGTTCCCGCAAACCACAACAATGACCATTATTGTTTGCACGATATTGATCCTGTAAGTCGCGTGTAAGGCGGAACGTTATGTGCGATTCGCGCCTGCCTACTGTGCGCTCAAGGATAGGCGGTATTGAATTTCATTTAGGCGATTTTCCTTGTTCGATCTGGCTTATCCTCACAGGGAAGGCTACCACTGCCATCACGCAATGTCACTAAAAAAAAGTCCTGTTTTATTAATGGGGCTAACAGTTCGTATGTTTTTAATCGATACGACGGTCGGCTTAGTTTCCAGCCGGAGCTACTTGGAGCTCCAAGACTTTTTCGATGGACGATGTGTTGGAGCTCGCTAACTCGTCTGGTGATGTGTTTCCATTTTGGAGTGCTAACAATTATATGGACTCGCTGGTGACATGAAACCATGACTGAGAAATAATCAGGAAATTTAATTACGTCACTTTCTATCCTCTTCTTTCTTCGTGTGAAGAGGGAAAAATGTGTTTTTCGAACAGTCGCTCCTCACAATGTCAGTTGAAGCTTGAAATAGCTTTCGTCCTGGCCTAGACTCTTTTCCACTTTGTCTTGCTAACTGATCGTTCCCATTCACTTTCCGTCCTATCCTAGATTTGAACTTAGCTGTTTCACTAACCAATTGTTTCCTCCTACAGAAGTGGTCGCCTCTGCTGGCGGTGCGGACTGTGGAATGTTGCCTTGTAGCGATATGTTATAAAGTGTTACCCCTACCTAGATTCGACCCCACGCCACGTCACGTCAGGTCACGGCTAACAAATTTTCTCTCCCCGCCCACAGATGCGTGTGTTAGCGTTTATCGCACCTCTTCTGGCGGCGTCTGTCTGCCATGGGGAGATATTCACAGCTCTGGTGGACATGGAACACCTGGCGTACACCGAGCGGGAGCTGCTGGGAATGCTCGACAGGGCCATCCAGGCGGAGGAACAGAAAATTCAGACACTGAAAAAGTGAGTGAAGGGACGACAGTCCCTCGAAGTCCCACTCTCCCTCCTTAGATCTTTAGTTTGTCTGTTAGTTTGTTTATTGGTTCGTTCGTTCGTTCGTTCGTTCGTTCGTTGGTTCGTTTGTTCATTCATTCATTCATTCATTCATTCATTCATTCATTCATTCATTCATTCATTCATTCATTCATTAGTTCGTTCACTTGTTCGATCGTTCGTTCATTCGCTCGTTCATTCGCTCGTTCGTTCGTTCGTTAGTTCGTTCGTTCATTCATATGTTCGTTTATTCGTTCGCACGTTCATTCGTAAGTACGTTCGTTTAATCACCTTGGTCTCTGACTCTCTTTGTCCCTCATGCCGTCCCCGCTCGCCTCCGGCAGGTACATGGAGCAGTACCAGCGTGTGAACCGGGAGCTGGTGGATAACCAGGAGGCCTACCTCCATAACCCTGTCAACGCCTACCTGGTGGTGAAGAGGCTGGCCGCCGACTGGAAAATAGTCCAGGGAGTCATCACTGAGAACGTCGGATCCAGTGAGTGGGGACTGGGGAAGCTGGAAGGGGAGCAATAATTTGTCTGGGGAGGAAATGTAAGTAAGAGTAGTGTTTGATTGGAAAATTGACACAAAAGACGAAAATGAGAAAAAGGTCGATGAATTTATCACAAGGAAAGTCGGATAACTCCCATTCTAACTAATGCGACCATCATGTGGCCATTTCTGCGGAGCTTGTGCCACTCTAACTCCTCATCGCATTTGTGATAGAGTTTGTACGGCTCTAGCTCCTTGTATTATTTTCACCGAGTGTGTGTCGTACCCACTCTCCTTTATGCACAGTTTGTACAGCTAGTGAGTAGTGACACTCCTCTACACCATTTCTACAGAGGCAGTACCACTACCGTACCGTTCTTACTTCCCTTTCCACAGAGTTTGTACCTCTCTAACTCCCGCGTCTCACTCTCGCAGAGTTTGTGGAGAACATCACTCAGGTCTCGGAGTCACTCCGTATTCCCGACGATGAGGACCTGAACGGGGCAGCCATGGCTCTCATCAGACTCCAGGATACCTACCGACTCAACACCGCCGGTGAGTCAAACTCAGTAACAACTCAGTCGTCACCCAGACTCAATCCCAACTCAGGCTGAGTAAATCAGACTCCAGGATACCTACCGACTCAACACCGCCGGTGAGTCAAACTCAGTAACAACTCAGTCGTCACCCAGACTCAATCCCAACTCAGGCTGAGTAAATCAGACTGCAGGATACCTACCGACTCAACACCGCCGGTGAGTCAAACTCAGTAACAACTCAGTCGTCACCCAGACTCAATCCCAACTCAGGCTGAGTAAATCAGACTGCAGGATACGTACCAACTCAACACAGCCGGTGAGCCAAACTCAGTAACAACTCAGTCTAACCCAGACTCAATCCCAACTCAGATTGAGTAAATCAGACTCCAGGATACGTACCAACTCAACACAGCCGGTGAGCCAAACTCAGTAACAACTCAGTCTAACCCAGACTCAATCCCAACTCAGATTGAGTAAATCAGACTCCAGGATACGTACCAACTCAACACAGCGGGTGAGTTAAACTCAGTAACAACTCAGTCCTCACCCAGAGTCAGTAAGTCAGACTCCATGATACTTACCGTCTAAATACGGCTGATGAGTCTGCAGTCAGTCCTAACTCAGACTCACTAATTCAGACCACAGGGTACCACTTACTGCTTGAATACGGTTTTTGAGTGAACTTGTCGGTGAGGCTAATTATCGCTGGTGAGTTAAACTCGGTTGGAAGTTCGTTTCGGTAGGTCTGACTCATTACTGTTAAAACACGGCTGTTGATTTAAGTCAGTTGCACTGCAGACCCAGAAAATCAAGCTCCACAATACTCACGTCTCAATAAGGCCGCTGGTCCCTTTCGTCTCCCTCTCCGCTGTTCTAACCTCTGTATGTCACGCTCTCTGTCTTTTTCACCAGACATTGCGTCCGGTGAGATTCAGGGCAGCCGTCTGAAGCGTCAGCTCACGGCCGGCGACTGCTTCGAGCTCGGCAGGCAGAGCTACAACAACGCTGACTTCAAGTGAGAATCTGTGTGGGATTGAGGGGCGTTATAATGACAGGGCGTTTTAACGAGGCAGGTGTTATAACAAAGGATGTTCTAACGAGGGATGTTTCAACGAGGGGCGTTATAATGAGGGAGGGTATCATATCGAGGGGCGTTACAACGAGGGTCAATTTAGCGGGAGGGGACAGACCGCGGTGTATGAATAGAGATGGGCTTACGCTCCTCAAGAGACTGAGTAAAACCTCGATTAGATAAATGTGATTATTTATCTGTCCTCTAAGCTGTTTTATTGTGAAAGATACTTCAAACTCAGCTGTAGTTTCAGCAAATGAAACGATAATCCGTTTTCCCCGACCTCAGACACACTGCGCTCTGGATGGAGGAGGCCTGGAAGATCTGGCGCTCCGAGTCGGACGAGCGTACGGCGCCTCTGGGCGACATCCTCGAGTACCTGGCGTTCAGTACATACAAGATGGGGGACGTGGAGGGCGCGCTGAGGCTGACCAACCAGCTACTCGACGAGGAGCCCGGACACCCGCGCGGCGTCGGAAATAAGGTACGAGGTGGGGTGCTAATTTGTGCTTGTGCTAGTAATGCCAAACTGTTTGGGATGTCTTTATGGAATTTTCCGTTGAGAGAAGTTTTAACTCTTGCAATTATTTGCTTGCTTGTGAGTAAGTACACCGTATCTGAATCGGCAAGTGAATTCCCATACAGAAGTCTGCTGGGGTCCAACTTTCACGTGTGCATGTGCAGAGTAACGCTTACAGATCTCGAGAGCGGCTGTACCGATTACGCTACAATTTCGCACACCGCTAGACACCGGTTAGTAGCGTGCACAACTTACAAGTCAGTTGGAAGTATTCCCTCCCACTATACTGGCGCACGTGGAGGGCTCACTCTCGGGTTTGCTCGTTTGCCGCCACAAAAAAGGCACCTCAACGATTTTAATGGACTCATGATTGGTAAGCCAATGCCGTTTTAGTGCTGTCGAGGGTTTCAGGGTTTGTGATATGACTTTTCTCCCGCTCTCCCCGACAGGCTTACTGCGAACGGGAGCTAAATGAATGTAATTTGAATGGACTAGCTAGGTAGGAAATACATTCTTGAGCGCAGCTGCAACTTCATATCGTGACCCGCACCCCCACTCTTTCCCGACAGGCGTACTACAAGCAGGAGCTAAATGAGTGTAATTTGAATGGACTAGTCAGGTAGGGAATGCGTTGTTAAGCGCAGTCTAAAGCTTGCATCCTTACCTTTCTCCCGCTCTTTCCGGACAGGCGTACTACGAGCAGGAGCTGGCCAAGCAGGCGTCCACGGTGCGCCGTCAGAGGAAGGGCGAGACTGGGGAAGAGGAGGATCTGGACGTCAGCGTCAGAGAGGTACGAGGAGAGGGAAGAGGAAGGATAGAGTGAGAGGGGTTGAGAGGGAGAGGGGAGGATTGATGTCAGTGTGACAGGTACGGAGAGGGGGGAGGAGAGAAGAGAGGAGAGAAAAGTGTGCATCAGCGAGATATTAGTACTGATACAGGAGAGGAAGAGGTATTGTTATCGCTCAGTCACTGACAAATCTTTTAGATCGGTAAAAGTGAACGATGTCGATTTTTTCGAAGTTGCAGTGCAGCTGATGTAGTGTTGTCAGTCGTCGGATGTATTCATCTGTCTCTAAACTGTTGAATTTTAGAATTAGATACCAAACGGAATGTTGTCAATATGTGCATTTTTCTTTAAAGGCTAATTTTTTCTCAATTCTAAGCTGTTATCCATGATACAGGCATCGAGCTGACCTGACTCAAACTTAATGGCATAGGTTGCAATCGATAACCTAACTTTGACACTAACCTGACCTCACCTCTCTCTGCAGGGCTACACTGTCCCGGAGTCGACCGAGGAGGCCCGTCTTCCCGAGCGTGACATGTACGAGGCCATGTGTCGCGGGGAGATCACCGTGCCGCCCAGCAAAGCCAGGAAACTGAAGTGAGTCGAGGGATAGGAGAGGAGGGACGAAAGTGAGCGAGTTAAGTTAGTGGAAGAGGATGGAAGAGTAAAGACAGCAACCAGAGTGTGAATATATCTCACATTGATGCTCAGTTTCCTTCAATAACTATCAGCAATAAAGTCAGACGTGTTTTCGTGCAAGTGCTGGAAAATACCTAAACAATTTGTCATAAGCACCATTAGTAGTTCACATGCGTCTTTTCTGAATCACCATGCATCTGCTCTCGCAATAAACTCTCTTGATACTGCATTCCGCACTCTGCAGTGTCTAAGGATTAACCGATGGAAGCACCAAACCCTCTCCGTCTTGTAAGCTTCCACAAATAATATCTTTCCCTGTCTAACCATCCCCCTTCTTCTCCCCCTTCCACAGGTGCAAGCCCACTTCACTCTTGTTTTGCTGAGTGTTAGACCCCTCTGACTGACTGCTCCCCTTCCACAGGTGTTACTACGCGCACAACTCGGCTCCGTTCCTGCTCCTGCAGCCGATTCGCGCCGAGGACCTGTACCTGAAGCCGCACCTGGTCATGTACCACGACGTGATGTACGACTCCGAGATCGAGGCCATCAAGCAGCTTGCCTCGCCCAGGGTACGTGGCAGGTGGCAGGGGTCCCGGTCAGGGTCTGGCTGGCAAGGGAGAGAACACAGAAAGTAATGACCAATAGAGGTGGCAAAAGATGAAAATTTTGGGAACCAGACTCGAACCAGACCCGGCTGGACATTTCTGGAACCAGTCGGACCCGGTCGTAGTTGGAACCGGAATCAGTTGGACCCGTTCCCCAAAAGTCAATTAATACAAACTACTTGTAGGTATCTTTAGTTGTATCATGTAAAACAGCCTATTTCCCACTGGAAATACTCATGCGCTACTGTGTGCAAAGAAACATTCACTTCATTCACTTTATATTTTGCAATAATGTGTAGTGTGCAAGATGTATAGTTTATGGTAGGACCCGGTTGGACCCGTCAGAAAATTTCCAGGAACCAGTCTGGACCCATATGGGTCCAGACTGGTTCTTTGGACCGGGTCCTCGGGTCCACATTTTGCCACCTCTAATGACCAACGAGAGTCGAGATGAAAAGGGAGTTGGTTGTTCATCTGGTTCTAATTTATCATGCCTGAAAATGCTGCTAGCTTTAAATTTCTGGGGTTCTGTGCTGAATTATAACGGTTTTATTTGATTACTAGGAATTTCAAAAGTAGATATGGGTTTTAAATGTGTGCATGGCAAGCATTTATAAAAGAAATATAATAATTTAGTCATCTCGTCTTTGCTGTCACATATCTTGGTAACAGGATTTTAGCAGTGGCTAACGACTGTCTGCTCATACCCTTCCCCGTCGGTTCCCACATATTTTCACGACCCTGCATGCGTCCTTCATTCTTACTACTGCAATGCGACCTCTAATATCCGGCACGCCATTTCAGTCCCCCCCCCCCTTCCCGTGCTACGAAATGACCATATTTCTCCCCTCTCCCACAGCTGGCGCGCGCCACCGTTCAGAACTCGAAGACGGGCCAGCTGGAGACGGCCAGCTACCGTATCAGCAAGTCGGCCTGGCTCAAACAGGGAGAACACCCGCTGGTCGACCAGGTACGGGGCTCTAATTATTAACATCCAGCTCTGCATTTACCTCTGCCTCTGCGTCTATATCTACCTCTACCTCTACATTATCTACCTCTACAGTCTATGTTTACCCGTAACTCTACATTTGCCACTACCTCTACTTCTATTTGTACGTCTACATCTACCTCTAGTCGTCTGCCTTTGCCTCTTCTCTGCGTCTGAGTGGTAGAGGTACCAGAGGGGCGACCCACCAGGCCCTTCAGAATGTTCAAACTCGTCAGGGTTTTTGGCAATTTAAACTAATCCGACTGTCTCGAATGTCCCACAATTTCTGCTCAGACAATCATGATTCAGACTGGTGGAATATGTTGTGCTTAACTGTGCACTGTGTGACAGGGCTAAAGGCGTCGGGAGAGGGTTAGTGAAACGTTTAGTTTGATGAGAAATTAGACATTGATAGAGAGACGACTTCAGGCATATCTATTGTATGGCTTGTGGTATGTCGTCTCTGATATTGTATGTGTCCTGATATTGTCATTAGCTCCCCGTTCCCTCAGATGAACCTCAAGTGGCGCTTTGAAACCATTCGTCCCTCACTCTCTAGTCCCTCGATTCACACGTTTCCCCTCTACCCCCTCCAGGTGAACCGCCGAGTGGCCCAGCTGACGGGCCTGAACCTGGACACCGCTGAGGAGCTGCAGGTGGTCAACTACGGAATGGGCGGACACTACGAGCCCCACTTCGACTTCGCCAGGGTGAGTGAGTCATGGAGAGTTCAGTACTCTCATTTTGTGGCTAGGATATTTGGGAGCTGTAAGTGTATACATATAGGGTATTCGTTTTTTTTTTATTTTTTTCTAATAGTCCGTTACCCATGATCAGGCAACCAGGAGTGCCCCCACCCTCAGTCCCAGCGACGCACAGAACCCTTACGTTAACACCAAAATCAAAATCAAAGTAGAAAAAGTCGCGGCACTCCCTGCTAAGAAGAGGAAAAAACATAAAAGAAGCAGAATTGACTACGTATGATATTATTTAACTTGGTTAGTAGATACAGAGAGCCATAGTAGTTAATGCCAAATCCAGCATAAACTGTCCGCTAAGGGTTCAATCGCACATCGTTAGTGAGGAACACGCACACACTCACTTGGAAGGGGACATTAGTGGGGTAAATCAGGTCTGGTCTAATTCATGCATATTGTCTTGCCATCCCTCCCGATGCCCTCCAGCTAAGCCGAGCTTGTTGCAAGAGAGTCATCAGGAGAGATGGGGCCTGATATGGTGATTAGTGCGAGCAAACATTTCCATGCCAACACTCTCCCAGTCTCACACTCCTGCGGCCCGCCTGGCCAGGCCAGGGCGGTACCATTCCCCAATGCTGTATTCGCTGTCTTGAAGAATGTAGTCGAGAATTCGTTTTTTTCGCTAGCATGAGTCGAAGTGGGTTTCAGCAAGGCGTGGGAGAGCTTCATGCTGTTTGCACTCTGACATTTTTTTGTTGTTGTTGAAAAAGTGAGCTCTCGTTGTCTTGGTGATGACGAGTCGCCGGCGACAATAGAGGGAAGGAAGTGATTTGGAGTTTGGTAGGGCGTTTGGTTGGTTTCTTGCTCATGGAAACATGGATAGGGATTACCATGTTTTTGTTGTTACAGAAAGAGGAGACCAACGCTTTCAAGAGCCTGGGAACGGGCAACCGCATAGCTACGTTCATCTTTTATGTAAGTCTGATGATGGCCGTGGTGTCCTTTTTTAGCTTTCTCTTCCCCTTTCGGTGTAGAACGGTTTTTGTCTGTTGAATTATGTGGGGTTTCATTTTTATTTGCTAATTGTTTATTCATAACGTTAACATCAGATTTTCGAAATTTCTGTTTTTCATTTTTACCAGCTTCCACCGCCACACCTCGTACTATTTACATGATTTTGTTGATCCCCGCGATATTCTACTCGTCATTTTTACTAGGACGCTAAGTTCGCGTTCTCCTCCTTCTTCTGGCTTCTTCTGTCATCTCAGTCGCCATTGTTTTCCCCAGTAACTACTACTAGCTCATTTTTCTGCCGCCAGATGTCGGACGTGGAGGCGGGCGGCGCCACTGTGTTCCCGGAGATCGGGGCCGCCGTGTGGCCTCGGAAGGGCTCGGCGGCGTTCTGGTACAACCTGCACCGCTCCGGGGAGGGCGACTACGACACGCGGCACGCCGCCTGTCCCGTGCTCATCGGCAGCAAGTGGGGTGAGTCTGGGGGCTACTCAGGGTTCGGTACTAGGACCACTCTTATTGGCGGCAGGTGGGGTGAGTGTTGGATAGTAACAACTCAAGTGCAGTTGTTCGCAAGAAGCTTTCGTTGTTAGTTTGTAATAATATGCATAAATGATAAAGTACCGATTTAATCACCCAAGTTAAAGGCGTTATACAGTTTTGCTGAAGCCTGAAAGGGCGCACAGGGTTCGGAATTGGGCCCACTCTTGAGTGGAATGTGTATGTTTGCATATAAACCAGCTGAAATTGTCAGGTAATTTATCGGAAATGACGATGCAGTCCAAGATACAATGCGTAGACATTCGATTGAATAGGCATTAAACATCTCAGACATTCTACATTCGATTTGTGCTGTTATAACGAAGGCATCGGACATGTTTCGTCAACAACACTTAATTCATGCCCGTTATACATAGATGCATGAACATGTAAGTATATCAGACAGCGGTGGTGGCTATATGATGAATCCTTAGCTGTGGAGAGTCAACCTCCAGCATGTGTGCCCATTCTTTGATTTTTGTAGATGATATAGTGCACCATTCCGTGTCCCTCGGTGTCGGGTCTGTGTTATGATTCGGGAGATCTCTGGTGTATGATTCTACCCTCATTGAATAATACCTGTCTGATTTCGGAAAATTCCGACGATCTTTGGGTACCCGGAGGAGCCTTACTATCTGACACACGTGCGATACCCCGCTTTAGAGCTTAGCGACGCTGGCAAACATTTTCATGGAGCTTCCGAGGCCTCTGAGGAGGTCGCCAATTAACTCTCGATGAACAACGCGGGGCCCAAGACCGAACCCTGCACAACACCGCTTATGACGCTTGTGGTAATGGTTCTATCTAAAAATAAGGTCCTGCATGGCATCATTTCTTTGTTTCATCCCTATATGGACACACGGATCACGCTTTGCGACATTGTTTTTCAACGGGACTTCCTTTTTTTAATCAAAATAGTGTGTGTGGTGGCGAAATGTCCGGCTTTTCCGTTTGCTGCTTTTGCTTTCTTGTTTATTTTTGACCGCATGCCTTTCAGAACATGTATTGTACAGATGAACAGCAGCAAGTATAAGGAACTGATTGCTTTTCTTTCTTTCGCCCGGCAGTATCCAACAAGTGGATCCACGAAATTGGCCAGGAGTTTGCTCGTCCGTGCGGCCTAACGCCCGACGAGTGATTGGGGGCGACATCTGGCTATCACTAGTTCAGAGCATATCGCCAGGTGTCACTGTCGGCTGTCCGGGGTTTGTATGGCCGGACAGCCTGCGCCATACTGAAAAATCAACAGCCCGGCTAAGATGATAGGAAGAGTTTGATGATTTATTTTGACATAGTGCTGGCGGCCTAACTCAAAGCATATTTGACATTGCATTTGCCTATTTGTAGCAGAATGTAGAGCTGCGTGAAAAATCACGCACAAAAATCACTTACGCTCGTGTTATTTTCGTCAGGGGCCCTTAACTCGAACTTTGTAATTTGTGAGGCATAACTTTTGACAATTATATGTCCGCCGACATAGGCTTAGAAGGCCTTTGCGCCGCTTTAGGAACCCTGTCACTGGTTTTAGGCCTTTGTGTCAGTATATTATGCGCTAGCGGCGGGAAGTGACGAGATTTGTATCTGCGATATGTTTGTGAACGACCTTTGAGGTGGTTCAGCAGGGAATACTTCACTGTAGGGGAATGTGGATTCTTTGATCCAGGATTGTTTTGATACTAGTCGATTCGTAAAGAGATGGCCATCATTCGTTTGACTCTCTGCTGATAACTGTAGCGTTTCTTCTTAAACAGTTAGTACCGCGAAATACGGTGCGAAGCTTGCCCGAATGACGCCATACGAACTACTTTTAACTCGCTTCTGTTTTACTGGTTTGCGTGTTGAGTTATCTTTCTGTATTTGTCACAGAATACCCCATAGCCAGTAGCCACTTAGGTTGTAAATATAGCCTTCGATTGTGAGCTGCTTAACTTTGCTTTTACTCACTTCAGTTGGCATTTCTTTTCCTAAAATATTCGTTTGACGGGATTCTCTAATGTGTTTTCAGACGCTCTTTTGAGTGCACTTTTCCAATTAGCCCTTACATTTCATAGCAATAATGGATATTGCCTTTTTTATCATCCTTCTACTTAAACCGATTTCTTTCTATTGTAAGCGGAGTGATTCTCATTAAAAACAATGGTTACCATTAGCCGCCATCATTGTCGTAACATTTGTGACGTCACAAATCTGAAAGTGACGTTATGACATCGTGTAAATGTTTTAGGGATGTGTGACAGGAAAAGATAAATCTTGGACAGATGGTATTGTGTTGGCTCGATCATTGCTTATGTTATTCTTCGTTTGCGAAATGCAAAAGTGTAATGATTTGCTTCTGTATTTGATAACCGTTTTGGGTGATTTCCGCCCTTTCGTTGGCGATTTCTATTTTGTGTTGGGGTATTATGTTCGTATTTCCGGCTGGTATTTTGCGCCTATGTTATGTGCTGGCTGTTTTAAATAGGTAGCGCTCTCTGTATTGGGTTTTGCTGTGTGCTTCTCTGAGCTTGAATTTCGTGTTTGCCGAGCTGTGGAATTGTGCGCAATAAAGAGTCGAAACGGTGAGTTTGTTTGCGGTTTTCAAACAGACTGACCAATGCTGAGGGTTAACGGATTGGGTGAACCGTTAATAAAGCGCGCAGAAGTTTGCAGTTGAATGTATATTGCGATGTGAGCCTGAAGTGTCCGAAGTTTCTGTCGCTGACAGTTGTCTTCAATCGAATCGTTATCGACGTTATTCTTCAGTCTTCATATAACTTCCGGTTCGTAAAGTCATACTCATCTTACCGATAAAAACGGCCACACAAAAAGCGATATATTTGACAAGCGTCACTACTGCAATAAAAACACGAATAAAACGGGTACCGCAAGGATTCATAATGCACAATGCTACCAAACGACCGGCACCGAACGGGCAAAACTCCATCAAAACACGCTAACATAAGGTCACACACAAACATAAACACACAAACACTCTAGATGCATTCGGGTTGTTGGATTGTGCACTGGGACAACAATGCTGAAAGTTACTGGTAGTTTATCATATACGCCCTTCCGTGTATAAAAATTCCCTGGCGCTGAAAACGATTTCAGACGAGTGTTTCCAAACGCCCAGTGTGCACAGACCAAAACAGTCTCCAAATGGACAGTCTTAAAAAGAACAAATCACAAGAACACACTTGGCAAGCTGACCTCATCTCTCTATACGTTTAGAGAAGTGCAAGCTCGCATCAAATTCGCCTACTCTCTTGAGACTCCAAATCCTCCATCCGAACTCAAGAACCTCAGTCTCTCTGAGTCTCTCTCAGCTCAACTTCTCTTTCATGTTCATCGACCCTCGCGAGTCAGATCAGTGTGACAAGATCTCGTGACTTCCTTCGGCCAGCACCTCTTCAGCGGAGTCATCAGACGTTCCGCTACTGCTTCTGCATTTTGATGACATAGCCGCCCATGAGGCCGGCGTAGATGCTGCCGTCATCTCCAACAGTCAGAGACTGTACCGAGCTGCTGACCTGCGGGTCAGGGTCAGGAGGGAGGTCAAAGTCACGTCAACGTCAGGACAGAGTTGCATCGATAGCTCTAAAACATGAAGCGAACTCAACTCATTCGCACCAACTGTAACATCAACTCCGATAGCCATCAATGCAAGCATCGACTCACTCGCCTTCTCAATTCTCATACATGAAATCATGCATCAGCTTCGACATTAACCTGACTCTGACGTTATTTCTGACCTTAACTGGCCTCAACTCAGATCTCAGCTCAGATAGCCTTCAACACAGACATTGATCCATTTTCATACGTTCTCAGACAAACTCAGACCTTATCTCCCAGCTCCGACATCAACTTCGACATTAACTCCGACCCTAACTCCGACCCTAACTCCGACCCTAACTCCGTCATCACTCGAACTCACGGTGGTTCCGCTGGCGATCAGCTTTTTCGACGGCACGTCCCAGATCTTCACTGTGTTGTCGTACCCGCCCGTGTAGAGCAGGGTGCCCCGGGCCTCCATCGCTGTGATGATCTTGTGGTGGCCCTGTGGGCGGTGTTTAGAGGGGATGTTTTAGTCCACGCGTCAAAACTGATGCGTGTAATGATGCAATGCGTGATGCGTGCAAGTGTAAACTGTGAGGGTTGTGAGGGGTTTTACGGGCTGGCGATTAGGGTATTTTGATGGGTTATTTTGTTGCTTAGCGCAACTTCATGCATTTTTGAATGAAATGTACAGTCCACAGCAGAAGTAATGTGCGGTTTCAGTCATGAGTATTTTCTGCTTCTGAAGCTTAGGAACGATTAGCCAGACTACAATGAAACTTTGAATGTAGCTTACATGTATCGTCACCTTTGCAGCTGCAACTTTATCTATTGACGTTTTCCTTTCGATCACTCCGCATTAACCCTCGCCCGTAAACGGCGATCTGCCACCTTCGCCCATGCAGGGGGGGGGGGGGTTGGTGCGACCCCCCCCTTGGCGTTTGAAAACGGAGCGTCGTAGAGCTTAGCGGAAAAGACCAACGGATTGCTCTCGCCGAGATCTCGCGATTGGTGGTATATTTTTTGGTCCTAGGTCAACATTTGACCTACTTTTGACCGGTCAAAGGTCAAATTTTTCGGAAAAATAGACTTTTTCAACTTTCCGCGGCGATTGCGGCAAAACGGTGGGAGATATCGACTTGAAACCTTCAGTATCGTGTTCCTTGATCAATTCTCTATCGTTTGGTATGTATTTCGTTTCCCTAGCTCTAAAAATGGCGCGTTGGGAGCGCCGGAAGTCGGCAAGGTCACAGTCGGCGGCAGAAATTCGAAAAATCAAAATTTAAATTTTTGAAATATGATTGTAATTTTGGATTTGGGAGGTCCATTTGCTCCCTATAGAAGCTAATATTGCTGCATATTCCCATCGAGGTGACAAGAATTAGCAAAATAGTGGTTCGGGCGCTTTTCAAAAATAGTACCGGACGCTGTTCCTCTTGTGACGTCATAGCTCCGTGACCTGACCTGACCCGGTCAAGTTTCTTATATCATATGATAGCCAATACTTGCCCCAACATGCATGGGAAGTTTCATCACGATCCATCAACCAATGTCCGTACCACCGGCAGGAAACCTCGGGCGTTGGCACTCAGTTTGTGAAAATCCGGCCGGAGGCTGTTCCCTTTGTGACGTCATAACTCCGTGACCTGACATGACCCCGTCAATTTTTTTTTATCAAAAGATGCGCAAGGCTTGCCCCATAAGGTACCCAAAATTTGGCGGCGCTGCGCGCCGCCGTTTTTGCACTATTTCCGAAAAACCTCAGGGGGGGTTGCACCAACCCCCCCCCCCCTACATGGGCGAGGGTTAAAAAATCGCCAGTCAAAGCCATCCATTAAGATTGGTAAAACCGCACATTACTTTAGTGGTGGGCTGTACGTTTAACAATGTGAAACATGATGTTTGAGAATGAATACTTTTTTGTGAATTAAACGATACAAATGTGAGACGTAAACGACATAATTGTTTGTCTCAATATGTGAGACAGATAAGACTATACCGATCATTGATGTTGCGAATGCTTATAAAACGTCTTTGTATTAGTTGCAACGGTGTGACTAGGTATATACTCGTACGTGCCCTGTCTATCTTTACATCGTAGCATGTCAATAAAACAAACAACTGGCACAGGCCACAGCTCAAACACCTAAAACGAGACGAAAGAATTGTTGTGTTTCAACATCATGCTTCTATGGCGTTTCATAACTAAAGTGTACAGTTTCTTCATTTAGGTGATAAGAGCCTGTGAAACAGCGTTACCTAAAAGCGCTAATTTCTTGATACATTGGAACTACCACTTCTGGATTTATGTATCCAAAGCAATTGAACGTTGCTTGGGGTTGTCTGACTTCAGAACCTGGCTATATATTTACATCCGTTCATATGGAGTGTTGTTGAAGCGAACGGTCAAATACTGGGCAAGCAACCGAATGGCGAGTCCGTATGACACTATGACACTAATCTATTGATAACTACAAATATATATATATATATATATATATATATATATATATATATATATATATATATATATATATATATATATATATATATATATATATATATATATATATATATATATATATATTGCTTGCTACAAGCAAACTATGGTCACGCAGCTAACCTAAATGTTTCGCAGCATTACTTTTTGGCGTACGATCATGAAGCGCAAGCCTTTGATCACTGTATTACTCACCTGTCCTTTTTCAGCCTATGACAAAAGGAAAACATTTCGCGTGTTAACAATAAACCGGCTACCATTTATAACCACACACACATCATGCGACATATGTAGATGAAGCTAGATTATCATACAAAGAATCGACATAGCATATCCGAAATAATTAGGCGTCATTGGCAAATAATTAGACCTGAGATAACATTGAATACCTACGGGCCTGGTTCTGTAGCGTTCAGCACTAAATCACCTAAGGATAAAAACATGACGTTATCAAGAGTCCATACTGCATGCGTTAACTACAGAGATCCAGAAAATCTATCGAAGATACCTAACTAGATTTAGATATCTTACGAAACAATGCGAAAGACATAAAAAATATGCAGCCAACGGACATTCTAGTGAGCAGCAGTTTGTCTATTCCTTTCTACCAAAATAACAGCCAGTGAGAAAACTGAACTCTAGGCTTCTAGCCATGAGGTAATATTCATTACTAATCAATACATGCCTTTTCTAGGTTCTGCGACACCTGAGCGAATGTCATTTCAGCGAACGACATTTGAGCGAAACATTTTCAGCGATTGGCTTTTTCAGCGATTGTCAAGTCGGCGAATTCAGTCACAGCGATTATCAACTTAAGCGAGGACCAGAATCAGCGAAACCAGATTGAGCGAATACATGGTGGTCAGTGGGGGACCAATTGAGCGATGCAGTTACAGCGAATGACCGAACGCGACGAAAGTCAATCATTTGCTACTTTTCGGAAATTATTGCACCTCTTTACGCATCATTTAACTTTTGAAGACACATATGTACATCGGACGACCAACAAGGGGTGCATGGGAGGGGAAGGAGGCGGGCAAAATTTAAATTGACAATGCGGAACATGAGAGATAGGGCGACGGAAGGAATGCCAAGGACCAATAATAAACTAGAGAGATGGCACAGGGGAATCCAGTCTATGTTTCAGGGACCTCACCCAAATATCTGGACATTCGTACGGTGCTTGGGGCAAGAACAAATTTTACAACATGGGGAACTGATCCAAATTCAAGCGGGGCAATTTCGCGAAAAAAGCAAAAGCAATATTGATCTCTGAACAAACGTTTGGTCACCATTATTGACAAAGAGCAGGGTGGGGTGGGGGGGTGGGGGTGAAATTGAACTGTTGGAATTTTTGACAAATGTAGCATTAAATTTGGAGCGCAATGTCTGACCTTTAAACGCGCGACATCCGCCATCCAGTTCCGGATAACCATGAGAAATTCCGGAAAACGGATACGCTCGCAAAAGAAAAAAGTCCACCGTTACAGGACGGTGAAATGTTTCGCTGAACTGACAGTCGCTCAAATTGTAGTCGACGAAATAGATGTCACTGAAACTTAGCTTTCGCTAAAATTGATAATCGCTTTATTTGATAATCGATGAACTTGATAATCGCTGAATTGCCATTCGCTGAAAATGGTTCGCTCAAATGACGTTCGCTCAAATGACACTCGCTAAAGTCGCTCGCACCGCCTTTTCTATAAAAACCTACATTGTCCCACAAGCACTTTATGGAGTCGACTTTCAATCCTTCCTGTTAGACTATCACTAACCCATGTCGCTAAACATGTCACAAATTTCAGGGCCAACTAGATGGGCTTTTCCGTCTAAATCCCGTGCTACCTAAAGGTTAAGCTACTTATTCCCACCTCCTCTTTTTCCCGTACCATCTTTCCTTTTTCCCAAAAATTCCCCGTCCTATTTTCTGCTCCCTCACTCCCACCATTTACTTTCCTGGCATGCTACTTATTCACCCCTCCTCCCTCCCTCACTCCCCTCCCTCCCCAATTTTCACCTGCAGTTCGCCCTGTTCAGCGTGTCCCTTCTCGGTCGACCTCAGTTTGATGGTCATCCGGGCCGGTTGCAGTAGCAGATGGTGTTACCGACCAGGCAGCGGAGGGCGGCCCTCGAATGACGTCAGAATGACGAACTTGGTGTCCCCGTCCACATTCTCCTCTGTGGAAAATTAAAATTAAAAATTATTTAGAAAAATAGATTAGTCATGCGGTCTACAATTGTTCTGTAAGGGAAAGAAATAAAATCAATAGAGAATAAATGATGGTCTATGGTCTATAATAGGTCTGATTCTTTTTTTGGGGGGGGGGCGGGTTAAGGTTACTCGGTGATTAATGAGACTCGAGGCACTTGGTGCGTGATGTGGAGGTAGAATTGCAACGCCACAATGTATTGCAATGAAGTGAAAGAAACCGCGATGCACTCACGACCGATGTGTGGGTATTATAATGAAGGGAGAGGAGAAAAGACATATATAAAGCCAGATAGGAGTGAGAGAAGAGAGGGGGAGAGACAGGCAGGGAGACAGACAGACAGACAGTCAGTAAGTCAGACAAGACAGACAGACGACAGACATAGACAGAGTACTTTGTGAATGACCTCTCCTTGAAATGTATGTAGGATATATTTTGGTATATCCTACTACAAGAAGACATAGAAAGAGAGAGAGACAGAAACAGAGAGACGTGTTGCTCCCACACCCAAACCCGACCTCGATTCAAAACGCACCCGTCATGACTCACACCGAACCCCATTCCTGCCCAGCTCCCTGTTCAGTGATAACCGCCCAAACTCTGCCCACCTCGACACGATAGCTGTTGCGATTTTTTGGCCGGTCTCCGGGTTTAGGTGGTGGAACACTATCGCACGTCCACCCTCGGCACTCTTCTAGGCGAACTATTTTGGTCGGGACCGGCCGCCCGCCGAGCGGACGGCGGGGCGGCGGTCGGAGGAGCTTGAAGGGTTAGACGCGGGCCGATCAGAACAGAAAGGGCTGTAACGGAAAAGGCTATCGCATCTCTAATGTATGCAATGTAGCATTAAGATTCACGAATTGTATCAGACATTATCCATTAAATTTTACCTGCAACCTTTCCTCGTACACAATCGTAAGCGGGCTTAACTTTCACGTCCATTGAAGAATAAAGTTCAGTAGCTTGAATGAAGCCAATTACGAAATCTACTCGCCACTTTAAAGTAGTGTCAATACAGCATACGTTTGTCGAATGTTTCTACCGACTATATTTCGGGCGGCACCCGGACTCCACCCTTCTGAAAGGGTGAAGGTGTTGTCGGACAGAGATGTATCGCAGCGGTCCGAGGCTCGCTCGGCATGCGCCATCGATATGGGACCCGACGGCCGGCCAAGACGGAGAGGGTAGGAATCCGTCTGCACGGGAGGAGGGATCGGGAGAGAGGATTGGAGGGG